AAGTAGAATTAGTTAGACTTCCTTACATCAAAATAAAGTTTGTCCTATGATAGTGAAAATGTCTACTTTAAGGATCATTTGCGAGTCAGATTTTAGAGTCATGAAATACACTTGTTAGATGATACTTAAATTTTCATTTTCTTTTCCTTCCCCAAAAAAAAGTAACTCCCAAACGCACCTAAGTGAATTATACAGTCCTTTTGTATTCATTATCTTGCATTAGTTTGCTGAGTTATTCGCGTTTTGACCTTACTGGTGAAGCCTGTGTTGTGTAGAAAATATTGTGCCAAAGGGTTAATGCAATATCATTTTGTATTTCTCTGCATACATTATTTGCTATACCCAGTTACTCAGGTCGGTATATTGGTTGCATGCAAAAATATATTGGAAGAGAAGGGATTAATGATTAGGATGTAGGTGAGGTTTGACACTTCAGGTATACATAATTGTTGTATTCAATTGTTAAACAAATTACTTTTTTATATGCATAACTGTTTGGATAAGAGTTTTACACAATATGTTAAAAAAAATAGGTTTTTCGTTTTTAATTAGAACTCTATGGGATCCTATGTCACCCTATCTGTTTGTTCTTTGCATGAAGAAGTTGGCTCTTCTCATCTCTGAGAAAGTAGATATTGGATTGTGGCATCCAATTAAGCTCACTAGAGGAGGTCCCACTGTATCTCACCTCCTTTTTCCTGATGATGTCTTGTTGTTTTGCAAAGCTACCAAGTCCCAAGTAAGGGTTGAGGAAATTTATGTCTTCCAAGTCAGTGACTAACAGGAGGAAGAATAAGTTTATGAGTTTATGTTCTTTGCGGGTGGTTAGCAATCTTGGGAATTATTTGGGGATTTCACTGGCTAATGAGAAGGTTGGTAGAGCTGTTTTTTATCCAATTTTAAAGAAGATCTAGTAGTGATTAGCTACTTGGAAAGCTAACCTTAATAAGGTAGGTCGTCTGTGTCTAGCTAAGTCTGTCATCTCCTCTATTCATATTTATTCTATGCAGGTTTTCTGGTTTCCTAATCTTGTGTGTGACATCATAAATAAGATGACGAGAAATTTTATTTGGGGTGGTGATGTTAATAATCGGAGCCTTCATTTGATGAGTTGGGATGTTCTCACTAGACACAAGTGGGATAGAGGGTTGGGGATAAGGGATGCTAGATCAACAAACATTTTTCTTCTTGGTAAAATGTGTTGGAATTTGATCAGTAGCAGTAATAAATTGTGTTGAAATTTGATCAGTAGCAGTAATAAATTGTGTTGAAATTTGATCAGTAGCAATACATTTTTCAGCACCCTTCTTTGTGGGGACATCTTGGTTTCACGTCGGTTAACTTCCGGGTGTCTCAGACCTTTCAAGGTTGGCTGAGGAGAATTACAAATGTAGTCACGGTCTCCACTTTTTGGCTAGTATTTGGTGGGTGTGGAGATGGAGGAATAATTCTATCCTGGGAGATACTCAATGGGATGTTACTTTGGTGGCTCGTAATACATATCGTTACTTTTGAGAGTGGCACAACTTTGGGTGTTCTGCGATGTTGGAGGCTAATCTCCCATTGACCTGTTGGAGCTACCCGGAGTTTGGTCAGGTCAAACTAAATGTTGATGGTAGGTGTATCAGAAGCTCTTATACAATGGGAGGGGTGGCGTTCTTTGAGATAATGAAGGCAACTAGATGTCAGGATTTTCGGCTAACTTTGGAGGTGGATCCTCTATTTTAGCAGAACTTTTGGCTATGAAACATGAGCTCTCTCTGGCTTGGAACATGGGTTTTAGGAACATTATTACGGAAAATGATTGCTTGGAAACTATTCAGATTAATTTTTAGGAACTCCCAATTCGGATTTCTCGCATTTTATCACTGGTCAACAAGGTTCGATCTTGGTTGGAGTGTGCTTGGGTCGTATTGAGCTCACCTTGGTTCTCACTCTCCTATTGAGCGGCTAATATGGTAGCGGACTTCATAGATAAACTTGGTTCTCATCTCCTATTGAGCTCAAGATCTGGAGCTCAGCTTCAGCACATTGTCAAACTTATATTCAATTGTTGTTTCTTGTTATTTCCAATGTACCAAAAAAATTAGAACTCTAGATTATCTTACTAAAAATCAGCTTTGGAAGAGATAAAATAGAAGAAAAATGTGGTTTTTAATCGTATTTAAATACTATGGGTGTAAAAGTTTGGTTTGGTTTTTTGTGCAATTCAGTGACTGAACCGAACACAAAGACATGGTTCACTTTACTTCAATTAACTGTCAATTTTACAATAAGAGTCGAAGCAAATTTGTTATTAATAGGTTAGTTCATTTTGGTTCTGTAATTTTCATCTTTTTTTCTAAAAAGCAAAAATCCTCATCAATTGAACGTTCAAAATGTATTCATGACACATTGTTTACTTATAAATGGAGAAACGCTACTATTACTATTATTTTCAGAAAATACAAGTCATAAATAGACAAGTAAACAAATTGTAACTCGTATACTTGCTAGTAACTTATATAAAAAATTATGTATTGTAGGAATAAGAAAATGAATTATCACATATATAAGTATAAAAGTAGGGTTGTTCAAATCCACACTGTTCCAATAATGAAACCAAAAACCGGTCCAAAATAAACCGAAATAGCAAAACTGAATGTAATTGGATTGTGTTGGATTGATTTTAAAAAAACAGATTGATTATTGGATACAATTCTAGAAACAAGACCAATCCAAACTGAATTGTATTAATTTTACTTATTAGGAACATGTAAGTATTAAATGACAACTAAGAAGGGTAAATTAGTTGTTGAACGATGTTATCAAATTTTATTTTACTTATAGGATCAGAATATAGTGCAGCGGATATGTTGCAGAAAAATTGACAAGTAGGACTTTTAAGAAAATAAATGAGTGCAGAGAAGAGAGAAAGAATACAAATATTTATATTGGTTCAACTTGTTGTCTACCGAATGCTACTTCCAGTACTATTGCAACAAAAGATTTTTCACTATATATTAAGAGTTGTAAGTACAATTTCTCTCATCGATATTTTTTGTATCTTACACACTCACTAATATATCACACTCTTGTTAAAAACCCTTAACAAGTACTTTCTTTCTCATTCTCATCACAACCTTGTGATGACAAGTTTTACAACAACATGAAAAATTAATTCTATGGGCAATGCCTTATACAAGATATAGCAATTATATAACTTTCAATCCTATTGCTTTAAATACACTTAGTATACAATACTCTTTGGAAGTGTTTAAGTATGAAAACTTTAGAACTTGCACTTTAAAGCAACTTCAGAAAAATATGAAAGTTTAAAACAAAAATTGTATAAAAAAAGTGTAGAGAACTATATAAAAAAAATTTGTGTACTTTGTATGTTTTGTGTGTGTTCTCAAAGTGATGTTTCAATGCCTTTAAATAAGTTTGTAATATGTCAATATACTCCTTCGTGAAGGTGAGACACGATTGGAATGAAACTCGTTGAGTTTGGATGAAAGTTGTTCAGTTTGAAATTGAAAAACTATTTTTAACAGAAGTAATCGATTACCTCAATTCTCTTTTGAGCAATAATAAGTTATTGCTTTGGTGTAATCAATTACATCAACTCTCTATTAAGAAGTAATTGGTTATTGCGTTGTAGTAATCCGTTACACTGAATTATTTTTGCTGAATAATTTTTTACTCAGTTAGGTAACCTGTTACGCAATCCTAAAAACATGTTAGTAACTGTGAAGAAGATCTTTGCTCCTGACCTTGGCACGGTTTTGATGAAGACACCAACATCACCAAAAAGAAGCAAGGAAGAATACTGTCGCGAGCCAATTTTCAGTTAGAAGACCGGCCCTGCGACTTAGGGAGAGGCGAACTCGATTTCTACCTCTTCCAATTGATTTGGAGTCGCCACTACATTTTTTGCGGAAACAACGTAGAAAACTCTCTATATGCCCAATTTGGACAATTTGGTCTTTGAACAGAGATTCTGAGCTCGGGAATCGATTACAGATCGAGGAAGGTATTAGCACCCGTCCGCCCGTACTAAAACGGTACCCTCGTTAATAACATGAACTTTTATACCATTAAGATTTATATATTAAAATTCAGTAATAGAAGCAAAAAAAAGTATTTTTTATTGTTGTGTCTGACAAGAGTTTATCTTGCTCCTACGTATCCCCTAGGTGCAATAGGGAAATCAAGGCTACGTAGTTTTGGTTCGAAAATTAATTGGTGTTGGTTTAGTTGGTTTGAAATGTCGATATAAATTTTATTCACTTTGAGAAAAGATGAAGCAGCAAGAACTAATGTCCGCACCGCATCAAATCTTAAAGAGATTTTGAAATAGTTAAAATACATCGTTGAAATTTATTCACCTTTAAGATAGATGAAGTAGCAAGAACTAATGCTCGCCCCACATCAAATCTTAAAGAGATTTTGAAATAGTTAAAATACATCTTTGGAATTTATTCACCTTTAAGATAGATGAAGCAACAAGAACTAATGTTCGCACCGCATCAAATCTTAAAGATATTTTGAAATAGTTTAAAATACATCGTTGAAATTTATTAGATGAAGCAGCAAGAGCTAATGTCTGCACCGCATCGAATATTAAAGAGATTTTGAAATAGTTTAAAATACATCGTTGAAATTTATTCACCTTTAAGATAGATGAAGCAGCAAAAACTAATGGCCGCACCGCATCAAATCTTAAAGATATTTTGAAATATTTAAAATAGTTGAAATTTATTAAATCTTTAAGATAGATGAAGTAGCAAGAATTAATGTATGCACCGCATCAAATCTTAAAGAATATTTTGAAATAATTGAAAGTTGTTGGAATTTATATAACAAAGGTTGATCTAATTCAAATGAGATTATTTAATCATTGATTAATTAGTTAACAACACAGGAAGACTATTAATAAAAATTTATCTTAACACAAACACTAATATCAATCAATTAAAATATGTATCAAATGGAGAATGGAGTCTAGTAAATGAATATTAAAAAAATGATTGAACCCCAAAAAATAAAAATGAAAGGAGGGAAAGGGGGTCACCCTTCTTTTATCATTTGAGCCATGGGACCCAAAAATCTCATAGTTCCCTTTTCTGATCCTCTCCTCCATTTCTCACGGCGGCATCAAGGGTGAGAAGCGGCGATGGTGACGCCTCAATGGAAGTTTTGTGCCGTAAGGATGTGTTTTTTTCTTCTCCATTCTACTTCTTAACGATTCAAAGGGAATCGAATCCCTAAATTATCTCCTTCATCCTCTTCTTTTCCAGCAGCGGCGGCAACAAAAGGGACGACGGCAAGTCACTGGTAATCCGGCGGCTAGATCTCTTCTCCTCTATCTCGTTTCTCCTTAGCGACGGTGGTGTTCTCTCCGGTGACGGTTTCGGTGGTTCATGATTGGAAACCGGCCGACTAGGGTTTACGGTTAAAAGGTGGAGGTTGATTGTCTTCTTCCTCTTTTCTCTTCTTCCGTTCCTTCATCTTCTTTTCCTTCATAACAAAGGAGATTGGAATCCCTAACTCATATTCTTTCTTTCTCCGACAGCGATGGTGACCAAACACGTCGAGGATGAAGCGGCAATATATGTTTCTTGGTCTTCGTAGGAGCCTTCACTCCATCGACTTCATCGTCACCGAGATCTAAGCTGCTAAGGTAGTGAATCTGCCACCTCTTCTGATGAGATTATACTTATTGTTTTATTGCTCTTTGCTGTCTGTGTTGTTTGATGATAGAATAAGGATAGGCTGCTAGATAGAAGGCTATGGAGATTTCCTGACTAGACCAATATATAAGGTGACACGCCAAGCACAAAGGAGATGGTATAGTATGGACTTCACATACTCTCCCACATAACCAGACAGAATGAGTGTAGTATGGTTTGGGATGTTTTCTTTTTGGCTATGAATATGAGATTTGAAAGGATTGGATAAGAGGAATAGGTTTTGTGAGAAAGTTGGAGATGAGAGGATTTTGCTCTTGTTAAAAAAGACTCATGGAATTTTCTGAACTCATGGAGTTTTTCCTCAACTCATCCTTCATTCTGTATGAACGTGTCCTCTTTTATAGCTAAGCATGTGTTTGTGAAAGTCTCTTCAGTTGACAAAAAATGTTGAGCAATGTATTATGCCTCTCTGTTTTCTTCTCATTATTCAACTTGAAACTGCTCATTTAATATAACCATTTGATTATGTAACTGATAATGATTTCAATTTGCAACCCTTGAGATCTTGGTTATGGCTGATTGCCTAGGGTGTGTAACAGCCATAATTCATTGCTAACATCCCCATAGCTGCTTCTTTTGAACTCCTTTCTTGTGCTCCACGGCTGATTCTGGCATCAGTGCTCTGATCATTAGGATGCTTGTTATTTTTAATTGCTCTAATTATTTTATTACTGATTACTCCACTTAATATACCCATCATTGTTGCCTTGTATATGTAAATTAATTCTGGACTGCTTGAACTTGGCAGGATGGAGATACCAAAATTGTGGCTTATAAAGAGCCATGCTCTTGGTAATTTGGGAGTGTTGTTGAAGCATGGATTGTGACTGTTTGAACACTAGTAAGCTGTTGATTATGCTGAATGCTAGATAGAGATATTTGCATCATGAAAGGTTGCATGACAGGTTGCTTAAGTTGATGTTGCAATACCATGTCTCTGGGAGAATAATATTCCTTCTCTAGTTGTTGCCGCTGAAACTGTTCTCGCAGCTGATATGGCTGTTGAGATGGGATGAGTTGTGATGAAGATTGTCTTTGAAGTGGTGGTGGTGGTAAAGGAAGCCGCGAGTTGTATATGTAATTGGTCAATAAGAGTTGAGTTATGTTTTGTGTAGCTATTTAATCTTGCATGATCAGTCATTGTCCTTTTGATGATATTAATTATTGTTAGTAAATCGTGCGTGTAGTATGGGTGCAATTTGTTAACCCATAAGCTTCAATGTATGTTACAAACCATATGATTGAGTACCCCTACTGTCATGTAAACATTGGTGTATATCCAAGTTAGCCTTCCTGCAAGTTTATTTTTTGAAAATTGGGTTCCTCCCATTAATCTCATTCTCCTCTTTTTATAAATTTTCTTGAATATAGGCTGGACAAAATTGGGTGTTCACAAATACTTATGAAGACAAAGAAGAAAAAACTTCAAATTAGTCTAAGTCTAAATAGGTACTTTTATCATATACTCTTAAATATACTTTAGTAGTAATGCTCAAAGTATTTTTGAAGAAAATTGAAACACTTCAAATATAGTCAAAACAAATTTCAAAAATAGTGTGTAGCAGGTTACTATATCTAAGTAACAGGTTATTACATGTGTGAGAAATGAGTTATCCAATATTCAACTGCTTAACAGATTACTAGTTTAAAGTTGGGTAATCGATTACTCAAAGTATGTAGTCGATTATGCTAAGTAATTTTTCAAAATTAGTTGGATAGAACATTTGAGTAATCGATTACTCAAAGTGTGTAATCGATTACACTATGTAAATTTTGAAAACACAGTTGGACAGGATGTTTGGGTAATCGATTACCCACTTGCTGTAATCGATTACTAAGAGCTGTTACACCAGTTTTCAAATTTCAAAGTAAACAACTTTCATCCCAAACGAAATGGTTTCATTCCAAACGAATCCTACACTTCCCTAGAGGTGTAATGGTTGATCGGAAAGCTTATATAAAGACATTAGAACACATAACTCATAGAACAACTTTCATACAAATTTTTCAAAAGCTCACACATATTCTGAATATTTTTCTGCACTTTTAGCAACTTGCCCTCAAACTTTCAAAGTAAATTTTTCTGAATTGCTTAAGAGTGTTTCTCAGTTTTTCAAACTTCTAAAGAGCATTATTACTTAGTATACAATAGTTATTGGATTGCAAGTTATATTGTTATACCAAATTCGTAAAGGCAATCATGCCATTGTTGTACATTCTTCATATTGCAAGAATTCTTTCTTTCACAAGGGTGTGAATAGAAATGGGATAAAGTTACTTGGAAAGATGTTTTCCAAGTGTAAATAAGTATTAGTGAGTGTGTAAGGTACATAGTGATCTCATGATGAGATATTGTAATTACAACTCATAATATTTAGTGAAGAAATCTCTTGTGCTGCAAGAATACTAGAGGTAGTCTTCAGTGGACAAGAAGGTGAACCAGTATAAAAACATATGTGTACTCTCTTCTCCTTTATCTTTTAATTTTCGGTTGTTATTTTTCTGCGTAACATTTCCGTTGCACTTAAACTCTCAATTTGGCAGAAAAAGTGGTCATACTTTTAAGTCAATTAATTCACCCTCTTAATTGTAATCTCATTCTTACACTAACTCTTACACAGTTCAAGTAACATGTTACCTAGGTCTAGTAACTCGTTACTCAGGTCAAGTAATCTGTTACTTAGCTTTTGAAAATTGTATTATTTTGTCTAAGAAGTTTTCAATTTATTTCAAAATTGTTTTATCTTCTTTTTTTAGCATTGCTCCTAAATATATTTAAAGTGTAAGGAAATAAGTACATATTGAAGACTTAGTTTCTATTTCTTTGAAGCTTGGATTTTCTTTGTCTTCAAAGTCTTGTTCATTTTTATTGTTTTTGTGATCTTTGTGTCATCATCAAAATCATGTCAAGGTCAGGAGCAATAACTTCTTCACATAATATGCACAAACTAAGTTGTGAGTTTAAATGTTTAACACTTCAGTTCAAAATGTTCTTGAAATAAGCTAAAATGAAAATTAACAATCAATTAGCCATATGATAGATTGCGTAATGTTAATTTTTTATGGCTAAAACATGTGTTGGCTAAGTAATATATCATCACACTAGATAAAAAAATTACACCCTAAAAATAATATTTCTTTTGATAAATATAATTTAGTTGTAAGATTTGGTTTTTTATGAAATGCAATACAATCACAATGAAGTAAGAAGTCAATACCAATTACAAGTATATCAAATTGTTTCTTTTTGAATGAGAAGATCTTGTTATCAATATAATGTCCTTACCCATTATTGTAATCATAATTATGTTGTGGTCTTTGATATAATAATTTTTAAATTTATACAATAATTATTTGTTTATTTAAATTAACATTGTTTAAGGAACAAAGTTGTGGAATTGTGATATTATGTCTTTATGTATTTAAATATTGTTGTAACAAAGTTGTGACAATACTAATATGAATACTAATATGAATGCATGTAAACTTGTCACCTTAAAGTTTATTAGACTTAATAATTTGATCATATTTATTAATTTTTAAATGTATGTATAACGTTCAATTCTTCTATAAAAAATTAGTTCAAACCACATAATATTTGGATTGAATGTCTTAATGTAAATATCAGATCGGACCACAAGTTAATTATGCGTTTGGATCAAATGATTATTTTGCTTAAAAATCAATCCAAACTGACCACAAACACCCCGATATAGCACTACAATCCATAATTAGTAACACATATAATAACATGGTTGTAAGTCTATATATGATATGTAATCGTTTCAAATTTAGTAACATGAAAGTTAGAAGATAGGTTCCAAATCGTTAAGACACTAGGAAAGCAACATATATATCTATATATATAAAGTGACACATATGAGAATAATTAATATGAATCATTGTATTTTATTTGAATAGTCAGTTAGATCTTATTTTAATTCTAATCATCCATCTATGATCGTAAGTCTTAAATTTATTGTTTTCCTGTTATTGACTTCAGATTGAAAATGACATTGCCTTGAAATGCATCATAATTGAACTACATATTGTACATATCTTTATGTTGTCAAACCAAAGGTGAAAAGTGGTTGTTGTTATTGATATTACAACATACTTGGCATTTGATTCTAAATTTCACTCACCAATTTATGAACACTGATATTAATCCAATTAACATAAAACTTCACCAAATCTCTCCTCTTTCACACTTCCCACCCAAGCATAATGACAATATTTTCCTCTTTTAAAAAAAACGTACATACACTTTCCATTCCAACTCAAAATTAGTCAATTAAAATTGATCTAGCTAATAAGAAATCAACTTATACCTTATAAGGTTGAGTTCAAATTATGCTGCTAATGTGAGGATGTCATTGATAAATAATATGTATCTATATAAACACTCATAGAACCTCCAACTCTATCTTAATCAGAGATGAATCTAGAACTTAGAGGTAGGGTGTGTAACATATGTTAAAAATTTAAATAATAAATGTAATCAATTATAAAAATATGACAGTGTTAATGCAAAATTTCAAAATTTAAATATATTTAATCAAATAAATTACATATTTCATAATTAATTTCTATGTGATTTCACATTTAGAAATTGTTGAATGATTAATTCATTGTCAATATTGTTGAACACTTCTTGCTAAATGTAAGTCATTAGACAATCATTCATGCATCCCCCATTCCATTAAGCAACCTATTTTTCTACCGTTGTATGACTAACTTTAAAAGAATATAAACTAATAGTTAAATAATGTGTCTTTCACTTTCAACTAACTTATCTAAAAAGTTATTGAGTCCTTTTAAAAACCAAATTCAACACCTTTATGGATATCAATGGTGTAAGTAACATTACCAAATCAGTTGAACAAAAATCATGTGGGTAAAATTTTACAAATTCAATCAGTTTTCTCATATCAAAACTGGAGAAGAAATATGCTAGACTGAAACGAGAGGTACAAAGAAGCATTTGATTATTTGTCTAAGAGAAATGATTATGAAACTCTTTAAGTTACATATCCATAATATTATAAAATAATTCAACAAAATAATAATTTAGTTTTCATAAAGTATGTGATATCACTTACAAAAAAAAATTATGGACTTGTAAAATTATATGCATATTGTTTTAAAAACCCAGGATGTGAATTTGCACAACCTGAAATATGTGGTACCTTTTCTCATCTTAACCCTAGAGAGCTCCTAAAAATCAACTTGCCTAAACTTTATTTAAAAAAACCAAACTTAATTAAAATTAATTAATAATGTAGTGAAAGAACTCAAAGTAACGCCTTCAAATCATTACAAATTTCTGCTATAAAATATTCCGCTTTATTTTTGAAGATGAAACAAAAGTGCGATAGAGTAAAATTTGATTTTATATGTTTGAATGTACCTTAACATAAATTTACTAAAATTACACTTATTATCACACTTATTATTGATGTTGTAGGTGATGAATCTTCACATTGATTTTGTATTGCAAACATATAGTTAAAAACAAGGGGTCCTAAACTCAAATGGACTAAATTCTATACTTAGAATATTCAATACATTATGTGAAAATGAAATATTTTGGTAAGAGAATTTTGTAGGAAAAATATCTTTAAGATAGACTTTAGAATGGTGGGATACTTTATACTTAAAGATACATATAACTAAAGATGATGAGTAATGCTATCATCATATATAGCCAAGATCTTCCATGTCAAATCATCGAGAATAAATATAGATAGAAACTAGAACTTTAGCGGAAGCGTACCTTAATACATTCATATAGAATATGAAGAACAAACGTTATGTCTTTCTTTAGTCATGTATCCATTTCTCCATGTCGTTTGTCTTGAATGCATATACATGTTCATAGTAGAACATGTAGGTTTGTTGGTCTTCCAATTGTAGACAACCCTTGGCCTTAGTTTCTCCTCTAATGGGATGAAGAGAATAGTGATTTTGTGGTTGTGTTGTTGTGGTCACAATTGGGGACCATAACCCCTATTTATAAGACATGCATTTCATTTCATGAATGGTGATGCCTTTTGCATTTCTTAGTTCTTATTTTGCCCATCATAAAAATAGAAATAAGATATTTGATATCTATACAATAATTTTCATGATAATTATGTCTATAGCTATAAACCTTACTCGAAATAGATCACTTTAATTTGTTTAATAAAATAATAACCTTAAACACATTTAAACATTACATGTGTGACCCAAAGACCATTCGTATAAAAAACTTGGTCACTAGTATTGAAAACACACATCATAGAAAAAATTTATAATCTCATTTTTCTTTGTATAAGATTCTTGTAAAGAGCAAACAAAAAGAAAGA